CCTTCCTTCCTTCCTTCCTTCCTTCCTTCCTTCCTTCCTTCCTTCCTTGTAGCCCCAGCTGGGCTGGAACTTGCTATATAGACCACATTGACCACTGACTTTAGTCTCAAAGAGATCCACCTGCCTCTGCATCCCAAGTGCTGGATCAAAGGTGTATATCACCACACCCAATATTAAGTAACTCTCTTAAAGTCAAACAAGTAGTAAGGAGCAGAGGCAGGACTTGACTCCAATTTTCTGTCTACTTCTACAACCTGTGTGCTTTCCACTGAAACTGGAAAGATATTGGCCTAGCCTGTGCCAGATTTCTACACACAGACACTGTTTTGTACATAAGATGCATGGTTACCTTGTTATAAATATCTTGTTATCAGTATTCTAACATTTTCCCTAACACTGGCACTTTCTTAGTTTAAAAATGGGAACATTAGGAAGAAACACATTCTATTTCTAAGAAACTTCTTAAACATTTTGACATGAATGAGAACTTGAGGTATTTTCTTCTCAGGCCAGAAAGATCCATTCATAGTCATAGATGCGAAGGTTAGACTTACATATTCCAGTTTAAATAGAGCATCTTACCTGACAGGTTGATGTGTTCACTCCCTCATAGGTAAACCCTTCTGCACATGATACAGAAACTTGCTCATTCACCTGAAAATCCTCTCCATGAAGAAGTACACGTGTTATGTTCAATGGCACAGGACATTTTTTAGGACTGCAGGAGATTGTTTCGGGGAACCAATGACCATCTTTCTGGCAGGTGAATGTATCTGTATCTGTATCCATCATGTAACCTTCCAGACATCTGCCATGGAATGAGAACATAAGCACCTTCAAGAAAGGACCTTTTGTTCCTGACCTATGCTTGGATGTAAAGAAGTTGTTACAAGGCTTAGGAAACATTCTATGCAATATGTTAAAACTGGGTCGAAGGTCAGATGGATAACATTATCATGCAAACACATTAACATAATAATTAACAGCTAGACCGATTCTTAGTGAGTCACATTTAAGATTAGCCAAGATTAAAGTTGTTTCCACTGTTGCTAAAGTCATTTACCTTTTGCTGATATTCATTCTAAAACAATACTAATTTAATAAATTGTAGAGAAAGTCCAAGTTAGCCCCAGATCCTAGTAGGTATATGATATAATTAGCATTTATGTACATCTACTATGTAACAAGCACTGTCCTAGGTGCTTTGAATGAGGTACTTCTTTCAATCTGGATCACTAAGCATTGTCATATAACTATAGTACTGGAGTTCAAACTCAAGTCAAACCTGCTCTGAAGCCCTCTATGGTTTAAAAACATGCATATGTATGCAGCAAATAGTTTCTGTTCTACAGGCTCTACAAATATCAATTCATTAAATTCTCGTGTCAACCTTATGACTAGGTGTTATCATGACCTCTGTTCCCATTTGCAGAGATAAGGTCAGTACAGGAAAGCTGAAGTAGCTTCCTTAAAGACACATAGCTAAGGACGTGACAGAGCTACTAGGTCCCACCCAGTATTGAAAGACAGTGTGGTATAGTGGTAAAACTGAACCCAAGAGGGACTGCTCAGGAATCCAACTGTTTACCACTACTGTGTGCTGCCTTTTAAGTTAAACCATGTAATAGATTCAGACTTATCATTGGATAACACAGTTTAAATTGCACACATTACTAGGTTAGATAAGAGTCGTGTAAAGTTGGAGCAGTCTACAGAGGTAAGACTTCAAATCTTGGTCTCCAATCCTGTAGTGTCCACCTGTAGCTAAGGGAGACAACCAGCTATTGTTCTAAAATGATGGATAAATTTGTTTTCTCCCCCTATCTAGAAGCCTTTGAAAGGGAACTGACACGGATTCTAACCACTCTAACAGCTATCAAAATACCTGAAAGCAAATCCTGAATCCATCACTCTAGAGTCCAGCCTTGGAAAACAAAAGAAAAATGAGGAAGAACCCAATAGAGGGATGCTTTTGGAAGCCCTTGTCAAGAAATCCCAATGGACTCTCATATGAACATTTGAAAATTACCCTGTTCTGACTTTTTCTAGTTCCCTGTCTAGAACTTGTAATGCTAGTTGCTCTTGCCTTTACTTCTCCATCACATCTTCTATTTACCAGTCAAGAACTTTCTTTTCGATAAGAATTAAGCAATTTGGGAGTCTAGATATAGACCCATTGAAGGGGTACCCTAATTGCCTCACCCTGCGTCCCTTGTTCAGCATGGAAGAAGCCAGAGTGGCCTGCATCCTGATTCCCTATTGGTAATTTGGGTAACACCTTCAGAGGATGGGGTGATAAGAACAGGAGGTAGGAATGGCTAGGCAGTTAGGGAAAAAGACCCCAAAGAAGAGTAGCCAGTTTCTTGGCTCAAACTCACAATGTCCTTGGGCCTCTTAGCAATATACTCCGTTCCAAAGTCCAAAAATGTCAAAAGTATTTAGGAGCTTTTATCTAATCCTTAAAAGATTTTAGGGTTATCTCTTCAGAGGGGGGAATGTTAGAGTAGCCAAAAGCCCCCCCCCAAATAAATAAATCAAAGAAGAAGAAAGAATACATGAAGTTATCAGAAAAAAGTGATGGGGAGATATGGGAAGAGTTGGAAAGGAGGGAGTGGACATGGATTTGATCAAAACACCTTATATGCATGTATGAAATTCTGAATAAATTATTTATTTAAAAAAAGAATTAAAAAAAAAGTCTCATGTTGAGGAAGTGGGTAAGAAGCTCCAACTCCACATAGGGAAACTGTGGCAACAGATGGCTGCTGAAAGGGACAGAACAGCCTCTTTCAAGCTTGGGTAGGTTAACCAGGCTCCAGTGGATGGACCCACACTGAAGGACGTTAGAAGACACAAACTAGACCGTAGGTCTTATATAAATAACAGAGTATATTAAATTGGGCAGGGGGGGCAGTAAAGGGAGGTAGGGATAGGAAAGGCGATCTAAACACCATCAAAATATAGTGTATGAAAACCAAATTCAGTAAAAATGTAAAAAAAAAAAATCTCATGTCATTATTATTTGCCCCCGGGGGCGGGGCGTTGGAGCAGTCTGATAATCTAATACTCAGTAAAGATCTGCCACATGGTGTAATCGTCACACACCAAGGAAAAAAACACCAGGAAAACTTGGGAACAGGTGGCATCACAGCTCTCAAAATACCTGACATACCAACTTCCATGTGGAGATTTTAAAATGTATTTCAGAAGCAAAGAATGATCACTTGTTTTTCTGTTTAGTGCAGAATCTGCTGCTACTCTGGCTCCTTTACTCTCCTTTCTTGACTCTACCTTTTACTTCACTTAAGAAACTAAAGTGGGGCTAAAATGTTCATTACAGACTGCTCAGATGAGGCTCTGAGTCAGCAATCAAATCTAAGATATGAATGGGCGAAAGATCATTTACCATTCATTCGGGAATGTGAATGAAACTTTTAGAAAGTTGAGGTACCTTTGAACATGATGTTTATTTTGATAAAAAATCAATTCACAAATTCATTCTAAATTTTTGCAACTTTCATTTTAATAATCTCTTTCAGATAGGGAAAGTTCTAGCAGAGTGCATTATTTGAGCATTATATACTTAGCTTGTTTAAGTATCATAGGTTGGCGTCCCTTTTGGAACATCACCTTTATTCATATGGTTTAATGAAAGTTATGTGCTTTTTTGGCCTGATTATTTCTGTTTTTTTTTGGGGGGGCTTTATTTTTCCTAACACTTCTACGTATAAATATAATCATTGAATTATAATCACAAATTTATGATCATCATGTTTAAAGAAGAGCTTTGTGATTGGAAAATGATTAAAGCTAATTAGAGGATCCATGGCTTCATGCAAACCATGGTGATTATATAAAAAAACTACAGTCTGGAAAAGGTGTGAGCTTATTTTCCAGTCAATGGATTTCTAGTTACAAGTAGCATAAAGCCAAGTGTTAAAAGTTTGAGTTTTTGGAGAGCAGTCCAGGGATGGCGTTCTCTTTCCAATGAGCTACGTTTGGGTATATCACTTCATTTCTAATTGGCCTATACATCTTGGAGACTCCAGAACTGTGGTCTTACCTGAGTTTCACTTCACTTTCATAGGTATACTCCTCTCCAGTTGCCACTGCATTGGCAACAGATGGTGGAGGTCCACAGGAAAGGGGTTCACACACTGGATAAGGTTGGCTCCATGTCCCTTTCTCTGTACAAATCAGATCTGAACTACCTTGCATGATGTAGCCAGACCTGCAGCTGTAAGTTACCAGGTTTTCCTTTGAAGAGCTGCTCTCACTGACAAATGCGTTAGGTATGGTTGGCACAGAACCACAGACAGAGTGTTCACAAAGTGGGAAGCCAGAACTCCACTGGCTGTTGGCTTCACAAGTGATTTCAGAAAGTCCTAGGAGCTTGAAACCTTTGAAACACTCAAACTGGATTGTCTTTCCACACCCCAAATCAGTCACATTGAAAGTTCCATGTTGAATGACTGGTGTGGAACACCTGCAAGGTAGGCAGGAAGGTGAGCTGCCACTCCAGGAGCCATTGGAGAGGCATCTTCTTGAAGGATTTCCATGGAGCTTATAACCAGGGAAACACTGATACTGTATATGACCCCCATGATAAAAGGAAAATCCATTAGGGAAGCCTTGGGGAAGATCTTCAGGAGGCCCACAGTTGACCGGTTTGCAGATAGGAGCTTCTGCATCCCAGGTACCATCTGATTGACAAATGAGTTTTGGAGTTCCATGTAATGCATAGCCATCCAGACAGCGGAACACTACTTCCTTCTTGAAGCCATAGTCCAGACCATCCATCACCCCATTTGCCACCTGTGGTGGTGTGGCACATCTGACAGGTATGCAGTTGGGAGTGGCATCACTCCAACTCCCATTGGCAAGACAAACACGACTCCTGGGTCCTTCCAGCAAGAACCCTTCATGGCAAGTGTATTCAATCTCTTTCTGGAATGTGTATTCCTCTCCTTTCACTTGGCTATTGGTCAACACTGTGGGTGAGCCACAATCCACTGGAATACACACGGGCTCATGCCCATCCCAATTTTTATTTTCCTGGCATGTTCTCCTCTCGGTGCCATTGAGCACGTAGCCAGGGTCACACTCATAGAACACCACACCCAGATATGAGTAGTTGCTTCCTTTGATCAATCCATTCTTGACTGGATTTGGCTTATTGCATGAAATAGCTTCACAGCGTGGGGGGGTACCACTCCACTTCTTATTTGGTAGACAAAGTCTTAAGTCAGAGCCTTCTAGAATGTGCCCAGGTTTGCAGCTGTATTGTGCAGCACTTCCCATGGTATTCTGTGTAAAATGCAAAAAGCCATTTTCAGGAGCAACAGGCAAGTCACATTCTATTGAAATGCAAGAAGGTGCACTGCCATTCCAAGTTCCATCTTCCTGGCACATCAGCACTGGGTTCCCCAGGAGTTCATATCCTAGATTACAGGTGTAGGAAACCATAGTGCCATGTAGAAAGTGGGATGAATGTGTAGCAGGGGACTCCTTAGGATTTTCCAGGGTTTTAGTCACTACTTCTGAATGCTGGGGGTGAGAAGCCAGATATGGAACTTCCATCATGTCATCTTCTTGATCAAAATAGCTCTGACCATCTTTAACTTTAGTACAGTCTCCAAAATCTATGTGAGGAGGGAGACCACAGTCTATGGGTATACATGTTGGGATGGAGCTTGACCATCCTGACTCTTCGCAGGTCTGCATGGCATGACCAGCCACCTGAAATCCAGGGAAGCAGCTGTAGATGATCATGGCACCGTAGCTGTAATCTGCACCCTCTACAAAGCCATTTTCAATGGGCTGTGGGGCATTACATTGGATGGCATTGCAAGATGGGGCATCCACATCCCAATCACCAGTCTCTAAACAGGTCAGAGCTTTGGGACCTTCAAGTTGGAAACCTCGGTCACAAGAGTATGTGATGGTCTGTCCATAATGAAGGTTTGTGTAAGAGATTTTGCCATTTAAAATGTCTTTGGGTTCTGGGCACTCAATGGGTTTGCATGTTGGTTTTCCTCCAAGCCACTGACCATTTTCTCCACAGAGGGTGGTAGTATTGCCCACTAACTCAAAGCCTGGCTTGCAGGTGTAGAGAGCGGTGCTGAGATAGGCAAGTCCTTGCACATCGATGATACCATTGGGGATCTCCTCAGGGTGGGGGCATTCTACAGGAACACATTCTGGCAGTGGAGAACTCCAAGTGCCATTGGCCTGGCAGGTGGTGGTTGGCTCTCCTCTTAGAAAAAACCCATCAACACATGAGTACTTGACAGTACTTCCAAAATGAAGAGCAGAAAGCTCAGGGACGCCGAAGGCAATCAAGGGAGGAGGGAGGCAAAGGACCATCTTACAGACAGGAAATGAATCATTCCATTGGCGGGATGGCAAGCACTTCAGGACAGCAGGACCTTGCAAGGCATGCCCTTCTTTACAGGAAATCGTCATCACGCCTACCTCGGAAGTTAACTCCTTTAGAACAAGCTGGTTTTCCAAAAGGGGTGGCTCTGGGCACTTGGTGGGCACACACTTTGGACTTGGCTTCTTACTCCATTTACCAGATTTCTGGCAAGTCCAGGAGTTATCACCAACAAGTTCATACCCCTCATTGCAGAAAAACTGAACCTTTGAGCCCACTTCAAAGTTTTCTCCTTTTATGAAGCCATTCTGGATCGGGGGAGGTTTACCACAGTTGAGAGGGATGCAGGACAGAGGTGACTCACTGTGCCAGTGGCGGTGGGCTTGGCAGACAAACACAGGACTTCCAACTGCCCTGTAGCCTGGGTTGCACTGGTACCTCACTTCACTCTCAAAGGTTCTGCCGGTGGTGTGCTGGGAAACATGGAGGAAACACGTAAGCACAACTCATAGAACAGGCAATCCTATAGACTCACTAGTTTAATAGCAAAAATGGATGTAGGCAATTTATTTTTAGTATTTTATGCATATGTATATTTCCTGCATGTGTGTAAATGCACCCATGTCATACAGTACCCATGGAGGGCAGAAGATGGCACAGGATCCCCTGGAACTGGAGTTGCAGACGGTTGTTGGCTGCCATGTGAGTGCTGGGAAATGAACCTGGGTTCTCTTCAAGAGTAGCCAGCGCTCTTAACTGCTGAGCTATCTCTCCAGCCTCTAATAGCAAAAAAGAATAGGACACAAAGTCCTGCATTCACAATTAACCAATTAGGACTTCCACAGACGAAAATTTATGCTATTTTCAACAGATCTGCTGTAATTTTTGTAATAAGCAGAAACAAAGAAGCAATATGTGGAAGATCAAATTAGATAATTTTTACTGCAGAGATGCTTACCACAAGGTAGAGCCCATTAAAAAAATAGTTTCTACATTGGTTGATGAATTGAAGGGGAAATACCATAAGTATATAGGGAGAATTAGTTAAATTAAAAAAAAACCTTGTTGGTCCATGTTCCTGTAACCAACCCTAATGAAATTCATTGAGTCATAAAAAAAGAAAGGAAAAAAAGAGAAAAAATAGACATGAAAGTAGAGAGGGGTTTCTGAGTGAGAACTGCCAACTTGATACAACCTAGAATCACCGGAAAAGAGTCTCAACTGAGGAATTAACTGTCTTTATCAGGTTAGTCTGTGAGGCATTGTCTTGATTGCTAATTGATGTAGGAGGGCCCAGCCCACTATGGGCTGCATCATTCCATGGACAGGTGGTCTTGGGCTGTGTAAGAAACTTAGCTAAGCATGATCCTGGGAGTGAACCAGCAGGCAGCCTTCCTCCACAGCTTCTGCTTCAAGTTCCTGCTTGAATTCTTGCTCAGCTTCTCTCAGTGATGAGCAGGACCCTGGAAGCAGCAAAATCTAGACAAACCCCTTTGCACCCTATTCCTGCTTTGGGTACTGTTCTTTCTCACAGCAGCAGAATGAAACTAGAGCAGGGGACTAGTTGGAAAATGGAAGGGGATCCATAGGAGTGGGAAGGGACAAAAAAAGGTAATGGGGCAAATACGACCAAAATACATTATGCACATGTAAGAAAATGTCATAATGAAATCCATTATTATGTATAACTAATATGGTCTAATAAAACATTTCAAAATCTTGGGTTTTTGTATTTATTATTTTATTTGTTATTTATTATGTTTTAATCTTATTATTTGTTCTGTTGTAACTACAGGAAATAAGCACATACACAACGCATAGACATTTGTTAGTTTTTTTAGGCCTTAAAATACAAAGAAAATAATTTTTATGGCCATATTCTAATGGTCTCATTAGAGTTTTGTTTTCTTCATAACAAACTTTTTTTTAGAAATTGTTGCTGGGGCTGGAGAGATGGCTAAGTGGTTCAGAGCACTGGCTGCTCTGGCAGAGGACCTGGGTTCGATTTCCAGCACCCACATGGCGGCTAACAAACTTCAGTTCCAGGGGAATCTGATGCCCTCTTCTGACTCCATGGACATTGCACAACGCAGGTGCACATATACATGCAGGCAATACATTCATATGCATAAAATAAAGGGAATAAATAAAACATTTTAAAAAAGAAATTGCTGTGAAAGAAATTGTGACAGAGTGGAAAATAAAAACCAATCTCATACCTTTAAAAAGAAGCAAATTTAATATTCGTGATCATATGCAGTAACAGATCATATTCAAGAAGCTAAATTGATCTCGATTGTTTTTAAAGTTATTATGGTTGTCATTATTAATGGTAAGTTCCAGCTTCAGGTCTGCTGTGAACTTAGTAGTGTTTGCAATGAAATATTCACTTTGTTTATGTATTGCTTGAGCACCTCATGTGCGTGTAAATGCAATGTCATCACAGACTTGCTCTGTATTATTAAATGTTCAATCTATGCCTGACACCCAACAGGAGCTATAGAATATTTGATAAATAAGGAAAGCTTTTTATAAATGCTTTGTACCCTCTATCAATAGATGCTAATGTATCTGAGCAAAAGTTTTAAATAAAAAGCTTTCATTATTCTGGCTTTTCTTTTTTCTTTTTTTTTTTTTTGTCTTTTTGAGACAGGGTCTCCCTGTAGCCCCAGCTGTCCTGGAACTCACTATATAGACCAGGCTGGCCTTGAACTCACAGAGCTCTGCCTCCCTCCACCTCCCGAGTGCTGGGATTAAAGGTGTGCGCCACCACACCTGGCCTATTATGGCATTTTTTAATATAAAGGACAAAAGGCAGCATAAATGCATGTATATACATATATACAGACATATACTTTAAATAAGTGTTTCAATTAAAATTTTGTTTGTTTTGACCTTAAGAGTAAAAATAAATTGTTTTATCTGGGCCAACTGTAAGCTCTTAAACACCCAAAAGGAAAGTATAACCAAGATTAATGGGGTCAATATAATTTTAAGGGTCCATATGTATAGCTAAAGGCTACATAACAAGAAACTAGGCCAGACAGGTGATAGTTGTGGACAGCACAGTGGACAGTAACAGGGATGACAGAGTATATGGGCTCCAGTATGTGGGAGAGGGGGAAGCTGTGGGAGGGTGCCATTTGGGAAGTGGGTATATAGATGAATAAGATTGTGTGGGATGTTCTGTATGAAACACACACAGAAAAATCAACATATTAAAAAAAGACTTATAGGGGAGGAAGCATAAAAATTTACTTCATATTAAATAGTAGAGGTGATAAACATTACCAGTGAAATCTACCTGATGACTTTATATCCATACTCAGGTATAAGGATCTGAGTGCAACCGACTGTGGCTAGTAATAATCAGCTACATAGAGATTAAAGACACATGTGCAAACATCTAAGTGT